AAAGTTAATTTAGATGTTATAAGCAAGTTTAACTTAATTAGCTAAAGATTGACATTAAATTATATGAAGAGTAAAGCTACATACATATACATATATATATATAAGATTGTTTATAAATTAATACAATAAATTAAATTATTTTGTTATTTTATGTATAATATATGATGGTTAAATTTATTTAAATTGGGATAATCGCAATATATTTAGAACCCATTTAATTTTTTTTTATTAAAAAAATCATACATAATAAATTATACTAAATACTAATTTCATTTTTATAATTATACAAAATAAATAGTTAGATTATTTTTTATATACAATTTGGGATTCTAAAATTTTCATATGAAAAAAAAGTAATTAAGCTTATTTATGTTAAAATATATTTTTTTTAACATGCATTTTTCTTCATATTATCGTAAATTCTAAATTATTCTATTAAATGAATTACGAATAGGATGTAACTATTTATTCAATAAGAAAATTACAATTAAATTCAAATAATTTATAATACGATAAATAATATCGTGAATCATATGTAATGTGATAATTTCTTTCGTAATTTTTGTAGTAAAATTTAATTTTGAAAGACAAAAGTTGGTTTGGATACGTATAATGGGAAGTTGTATGTATAGGATGTGAAGTTGCATGGCACATCAAAGACACCAACAAGTTAGTTGAGGAATCGAAGTGAGTGAGACAAAACACAGCTTAAATTTCATAGATGTTATCAAAAACATGCCGGTCCATTTTACACATGGCCGGGTCACAACTTGAACCCACTCTTCTTTGACAAAAACAGTACAAATTTCTTTTCATTAATCTTAATTTGCTTCATTAATTATGCGGGTTATATAATTGTTATCGGTCTTCATATCTTGGTATAGTTTGAAAAATCGCATTCAATCAGATTGAATGTTATCTTGTTTATACGCAATTCAATTATTCGACACTAATATAATTTTATTCCGAATAAATTTTTTAAAAAATATTTAGAGATTAAGTTTGATATATTTTATTTCTATCTGAGTTTTTTTATGAACAAATGAATATCGTGATTTCCAATAGTATACAATATTACTATTCTTATCCGTCCTCGATTTTTTTCAAAATAACTTTTAAGCCTTTTAGGTCATGTAATGAAGTGTTCATAATCCGTTAACCAACTTAGTACCAAAGAAATATGGGATATAAATGTGGTAGCTCTAATTTTTTTTTTAAGTTGACTTTGATATTTTAACTACAAAAA